TACCATACGATGAACCAATACGGGTTTCGCGTATTATACCTCACGAACCCTCGTCCAAATGTACCTGGTCACAAGACAATGATACCGCCATTGCAGGGGACAAGGCTATGGGTACTTACCTATACGCACAAAAGATTCTGTATTGGGACCGGGTGCTGATGGTAGGGGACGCGATGAGTTTTGCTATTTCTTTGATGAACGAGGCAGGCTGCACAACTATGGTTGAATATTCACAACAGATGCGGATCGAAGACTTTTTCAAAGCCCTTAGAGAAAGGTTCGAAGATAAGAATTTGGCCCGTAGGACTGAGTCTTTGATTCTTAACATAGGTGACCGTAAATGGAAGAGTGCAGCAACTCTCAAGGCCACGATGCGTGAATTGTTGCAATGCCCAGATCACGGACTGACACCGGCCCAGATCCTGAATAACTTCGCTAGAGCGCTCCCTGATCCCCTGAAACACAGTTATATCCCCGCACCAAAGAAGAGGGAGTGACCTACGAGAAATTCAGCAAGATCGCAGTAGATCATGCTGGTTTCCTATAGGAGGCACAATACTGCCACTACTGGAAAGACTTGCAAGCAGGGAAGAGATAGAACAAATTTCAGGCAATATAGCAGGGAAAGACAAACTATAGGTCACCTTCGAGGAAGGAGGTGTAGAGTCTCTTACATATGACCAAATACATTATGGACTGGAAGAAGATAGCAATGGTCACTTAGCCCAGGGAGGGGACTTTGCGGCTGTTGCAGCCCGCGGGGGAGGGCTACAAGGAGGAAGAGGCCGTGGTAGAGGAAGAGGAGGTCGCGGTCGAGGTGGAGGAAAAGGACCCGCCGCCCAGAGGGGTAGTGGCGAAGGTAGCTACTATGTGGGAGGTAGGGGTAATGGTCCCTCGCAAGGAGGTAGAGGTCCCAACTCCACAGGGGAAAGAGGTAGAGGTAGACGGCCATACCCGAAACACCTAGGTATAGCTGAAGGCAAACCTTGGTTAGAAATGGGTATAGACGAGAAAACATGGGAAGAACATCGCAAAACCGGTCAATGTTTCAAATGTGGTGACCGCGACCACATTGTTTCTTTCTGTCCTGAGTATAGGTACCCTGAAGGGAACGACCAGTAGAGGTTGCAGTTGCCTCTACGGGAACTTTGGATGCAAGCAGACTGTCAACCTCCCATCCAGAGATCCCAATGGCAAAGACTGCAACGGAAGTTAACCCCCACCTAGTTAGCTGCCCAAAAGTTGTTTATGCTAGGACTTCTCTAGGTGGTTCCCTCGCCAGCATAGGTGATCACTCCTCGCCGCACTTGGGTTGAACTGAAGAAAAAGAAAGGGCAGTTGTTAATTGCAGATATAGAGATTAATGAAGTAAGAGTGGGCACGTTAATAGATAATGGTTCAATGCACAGTTATATTAGCAAGAAAGGGTTGCAGAAGATGCGCTTAGGGCTGAAAGTCTAAAAGTTAAGACCACCCGTCGTAAGCAAGCTGGCAGATAATAAAGATATGGTAGTAGATAGTTATGTTGAAGGGGTAAGGGCATACTTCTGGTTGGAGGCAGGGGGTAAGATGGAACGAGTTTTGCACTCCCTAAAACTCTTAGTGGAGGATAGCCTCCCTTTTGACATGATTCTAAGAACTGACTGGGGTGAGGCCGCCAATGCAGATGTGAAACTGGGTGAGCATGAGTGTTGTTTGCCTATCCCTCCAAATGGGAAGAAGAAAATTCAACTTTACCATGCATCTGGCGTAGAGAACAGCCTAACCCTTTGTTGCATGAGTGCCCCCGCGTTCGCTCGACATGTGGTCAAGAATGACCTCGCCGATCAAGTGTTTGTTGCATATGACTCCAATTCGGTGAGTAAAGAAAAGAAAGAGGAAGAGTCGATACCCCCCAATGTGCACAAGTTGCTTGTTGAGTTCGCTGATGTTGGAGAGGCCCCAAGTGGAGTGGTTGACAGAGAAACCAAGCACCGGATTGAGCTAGAACCCGGTAGCCGGATTCCCAAGGGCCCTATCTATAGGATGTTTCCAAAAGAACTGGATTTAGCTGCAAAAGCAATTAGATGAGTTGCTTGAGAAGGGGTGGATTGAACCAAGTTCCTCGCCATTCGGTGCACCAGTCTTGTTTGTGCTAAAGAAGGGCGACAAACTGCGAATGTGCATATAGGGGACTTAATGCGCTAACTGTTAAGAATGCGGAACCGTTACCACGTATAGACGATCTCCTGGATAGAGTTCAGGGCTGCAAGTATTTCTCTACGATTGATTTGAAGTCGGGATACCATCAGATTGAGGTATCGCCCAAAGATCAGCGTAAAACAACTTTCCGAAGGAGATATGGCCACTGTGAGTTCCTGGTGATGTCGTTTGGTTTAACTAACGCCCCTGCAACCTTCCAGAGATGTATGAATGAGTTGTTTCGTGATTGGCTTGATAAATTTGTTGTTGTTTATTTAGATGATGTACTGATTTTTAGTAAGAGTCTGGAAGAGCATGAAGAGCACCTTCGAATTGTGTTTAATAAATTGCGCGAGGCGAAATTTAAGATTAACCCGAAGAAGTGTGAGTGGGCAAAGTGTCATGTCCTTTGCTTGGGACATATGGTAGATGGTGATGGGATCAAACCAAAAGACGCTAAGATTGCAGCCATTAGAGATTGGCTTAACCCGCGCACGTTGACGGTACTGCGCTCGTTTCTCGGTCTGGCCAACTATTACCGCAAGTTCATTCGGAACTTTACAGTAATCGCTGCCCCATTGCGCAGATTGTTAAAGAAGGAAACTATCTCGAAATAGGATCACGATTGTATTGCGTCCTTCAAACGTTTAAAGAAGTGTTTGATTAACTACCCGATATTGAAAGTTGCGGATCCATCTCTACCCTTTATCGTAACCACTGACGCAAGTCAATACGGGATTGGTGTTGTACTCCAGCAAGACGATGGGAATGGGTACAGACCTGTGGAATTCATGTCCTGTAGACTGCTTAACGAAAAGGTCTCCGCTTCTACCTATGAGAGGGAGCTGTTTGCTTTGAGAGAAGCATTGAATCATTGGCAACATTATCTGCTAGGACGCCACTTTTACTCAGATCATGAGACACTTCGCTGGCTAAAAAACTAGGCCCGGATGACACCTAAACTGACCAGGTGGGCTGGGGAGATTGACCAGTTTGACTTTGAATTGATGCCAGTAAAGTGTAAGTACAGTATTGTCACTGACGCATTGAGTCCAAGGGCTGACTTTTTCGGTGCCATTGTCACATACTTAGATGCAAGCACTGAACTACATGAAAAGATTAAATCTGCCTACACAAGGGATCCAGTCTATAGCCAGTTGATTGGCAAGGTGCAGACAGCACCTCACGAAGTCCCGGACTATAGAGTAACACATGGATTGTTGTTTGAAAAAATAGACGTCCATGATCGTCTATGTGTTCCGAATAGCGAGGAAATTCGTAGCATAATACTTGGGGAAAACCACGATAC